CGTTGGTGGTCAGAGGTCAGATCGTTCGAATGGTTTTGTCGACAAGACACGTCTCACTACTTACAATGACTACTTCCAACTTCACCAAACCTGTGCGGACCCGTCTCGACTCAGTCTAGGACTAATAAACACCCACAACGAGGTTATCCATATACGCACATACATTCACACACACACACACATACACACATACATACATACAATAAAGCGAATGTCATTATTAGGCTCATCTCATTCTGCAAGCTCGACTTGTGAAAACTAAAGGACTTCCGATCGACTCCTCTTCAACTTTCGGCAAAAGAAGGCGCCAGAACGTTCTGCAATGTGGGATGAATGTCATACAGGACTGTGGCAATGCTGTGTCTGCTCGTCCACAGTTGCCCCGTGGGCTATGCTTCACTCTCTCGGCTACTCGACGGTACAGGCCGAATCTGGCAGTCTTGTTGGAGGGCCACTTGAACTTTGTCGTCGCGTTCATGGGCTGTATTAGCATAATTGGAAAGGTCTTGTTTACGCTTCCCTGCAGACCAGATAGGCCCTCAGTTTACAAGCCGAACAAAGTGGGCTCTCTTACGAGGTCATTGGTTGCCCGAAATTGGGTCGTAAACGCTGAAAAAGTCAAAGTCAAGCCCATCCAGTCAGACCGCCATCCACCACTATTGGCCGAATGGCGAAAGATAAAGGTTTCATTTGTCACCAACCTCGAAGTTGTGAGTTGTGTGTGCGGTTGGTTGGTGGTGCTGTGGGCAAATGGTAAAATTGTCGCCGATTCTGTATTGCGCCGCGTGTCTATCGGCCGGGGAGGTGAAATGCAGGCACATTTGCACGGAATTCGGTGGGTCATAACATTTACATTTTGGGGTTAAATGCCAGACAGACGACGTGAACAGCACAGAGCTGAAATAATGTGGATTTATGAAGGATTTCATAGCAATTATATGCTTAATTAACAGCATATCAACCAAATTTGTGAGACAGCGCAAAAATTTGGCGAAGTAAAAAAACTCTTTCGCAAATTATTTAATCAATTAATGTATTTCTTACATATTCAGATAGTTATTTATTACCCTACTGTATTTATTTACCCATGTTTACTATATTTACTGATTCACTCATGATCTATTAAATCGTAAAATAAACTATATAGCCACTTCTCTTGTCAAATTCTTGCTGAGCTACACTCATTTCGTATAGAATTTTATGAAAAATCGCAAGTCAAAAATTACCAGTTTAAGTTATGATACAAACAATTTAAGGTTTTATGAGATGTATTCATCCTACTGTGTTTGCGGTGATGAAGGCCTGGCAGTT